TTTGAGGATGCAAGTAAGGTAAAATAAGGTCATTAGAGTGGGTCCTACTGTATTAGGACTGGTTTCCTTATAAGAAGAGATTACCAAACAGACATACAGAGATACCATATGGAAGACACAAGGAGAAAGCAGCCATGTGCAAGCTAAAGAGAGAGCCCTCAGAAGAAATCAACCCTGCCAACACCTTTGTGTTGGATATCCAACCTCCAGAACTGTGAGACAATAAATTTCTGTTGTTTAAGCCACCCAATCTGATGGCCCTTTGTTATGACAGCTCCAGAAGACTAGCACAGGTATGTCAATGCCAAACGTTTTTTCTTTTCAGTCAGAACTAGGGAGAGATTCTTTGGGTTCTTCAAACTAGCAAAGAGAGAACTTGTTCATACTTTGTATCTGAACTTTCAAAACAATTCTATACACTCCCCATAGCAAGTTTGGATCCACGCCTTATGCTATATTCAAAAGTAAACTCCAGGTAGGTTAAAGATCTAAAAAATAAGAAAATAAAATGCAGAAAGCCATCTTTGTAGCCTCAGAGTGGAGAAAGACTTTTTGGACACGAAGCTAAATCCTCAAATCCCAATGTCAAAGTTGGATGGGTTTCATTTCATTAAAATTAAGAATTAGAGTTCAATGAAAGACACCCTAGAAAAAGCTAACAGATTAGTGGAGATTCTAAAGCCAAAGGATACCTGCAATATCCTCCCCTCCAAAAACAAAAACAAAAGACAACTCCTGCAAATCAACAAGAAAACAGTGCAATACCTAAGAGGAAAATGGGTGAAGGATATGAATAAATAAATCTCAGAGAAAGGCCAGATGTCTAAAAGGTACATGAAGAAAAACTCAATCAACATCTTTAGCAACAAAAATACTGGAAGTTTAACCATCGATGACTTTTCCACATTGTCCATTAGAATTGCAAAAACTCGGGTCACCAGAGTGGCTGGCTCAGTCAGTTAAGCATCCAACTCTTGATTTCAGTTCAGGTCATGATCTCATGGTGGGGAAATCAAACCCCATGTCAGGATCTGAGCTTGGCATGGAGCTTGCTTAAGATTCTCTCTCTCTCTCTCTCTCTCTCTCTCTCTCTCTCTCTCTCTCTGTCTCTCTCTCCCTCTCCCCCTTCCCTCACTCTCATTATCTCTCTCTCAAAAACAAATTGCAAACACTAGAACACTAAATAATATCCAGTGTTGGAGAGGATATGGGAATGACAGAAACTATTAGATACTATTGAAGGGAATATAGATTCGTCCAATATTCTGGAAAGCAATCTAAAGGGACTAGGGAAACTAAGTATAAGATGTCCTTTGATTCAGCAATGGGTACAGTAGTCCCCCCTTATCTGTGGAAGCTATGATCCTCAGTGGATGCCTGAAACCACAGATAGCACTGAGTCCTACATATACTATGTTTTTCCCCCTAGGCATTCATATCTATTACAAAGTTCAATTTATAACTTAAGCATGGTAAGAGATAAACAATAATAATAGACAAATTATAAAAATATATTTTAATAAAAGTTATGTGCATGTGGTATCTTTTTCTAAAAATATCTTATTTTTAATTTTTTTCTTTTTATACGTTTATTAATTTATTTTGAGAGAGAGGGATAGAGAGCGAGCGAGAAGGGGTGGGCAGGCAGTGACAGAGAGAGAGAGAGAGAGAGAGAGAGAGAATCCCAAGCAGGCTCCACACTGTCAGCCTAGAGCCCAATGTGGGTCTCGAACTCACAAACCATGAGTTCATGACCTGAGCCAAAATCAAGAGTTGGAGGCGTAAGTGACTGAGCCACCCAGGAGTCCCTAAAAAATATCTTATTGTACTATATCACAGTATACTCACCCTTCTTCTTGTGATAATGTGAAATGATAAAATGCCTGCACAGTGAGATAGGTGAGGTGAACAACGTAGGCATCATGAGGTAGCATTAGGCTATTATTGAGCTTCTGACAATTTGTCACAAGGAGGATCATCTGCTTCCAGCGAAAGGTCGACCATGGGGAACTGACTGAAACTGCGGAGAAAGAAACCACCAATGAGGGCGGACTATGGTATATATCTCAAGAATACTCACATACAGATTGAGACGATGTGCCTGGATTTACCTGGCTGTATTATCTATGATGTGGAAGTGAGAAACAATGCCCATCCTTAGGGGAAAGGATAAGTAAAACGAGGTGGAGACAACTATGAAGATATTATACATTATCTAATACAACCAACTGTATACAGAGCAACACAGATCTAAATCACAAGTTGTTGAGTATTTGCAGCACTATTCCATTTATTAAAACACATACGAGGGCGCTTGGGTGGCTCAGTTGGTTAAGAAGTCGACTTTTGATTTCGGCTCCGGTTATGATCTCAGGGTTCCTGAGTTTGAACCATAAGCAGGGCTCTGCACTAGCAGCAAGGGGCCTGCTTCAGATCCTCTGTCTCTCTCTCTCTCTCTGTCCCTTCCCCACTCACACATACACGTTTTCTTTCTCAAAAATAAATAAATGTTAAAAAAAAGTCTTTAAAGGACATTCCTACAAAACCCATATTTTCCAAAGGATGTATAAATTAAACATATTGTGGTGTTTGCTTTCTAGAGGAGAAAAATGGGTGGGAACTGGGAACTAAGAGAAAAATTAGAATAGAGTCTTGTATGCACCAATAATGTTATACTAAAAACCAAGGAGTATAATTAGCTCGTTTCTGCACCTGAGATTTAAATACACACACACACACACACACACACACACACACACACACACACCCCAAAACCTCTCCCTAAGTTCCTCCTGTATTTTTCAGCACATTATTCCAGCAAGCTAAATCTTGAATGAGGATACTGGAATTAACCAGACAGTTGCCTAATCTTATTAAACACTTTTGGTTATACTATCTCTGTATTCACAATCCCTGGGGTAATTTGTCGCCTCCTCCCAGGGATAGTCAGCATTTGGCAATGTCTGTAAAAAATTTTTCTGTAAAAAATTTTTTGGTTGTCACCACTCAGGGATTGGGTGCTACTGGCACCTAGTGAGCAGGGGCCAGGGATGCTGCTAAATATACTGCAATGAACAAGACAGGCAACAGAGAAGCAACCCTTTCCAAATATCAATAGTGCTGAGATTGGGAACCCCTATAGTCTCTACACAACCTCACTGCATTTTTCCATTTACTTCTTCCGTCTTTGAGAGGCTGTCCTTCAAGCTGACCAAGATAACTCCTTTCCCCTTTCCCATCCTACTCTCCTACTTACCCTCCTTCCATCGTTGCCCGCTTCTACTCTTATTTCTGCTCAAGCACAATCAACAGTCTTAGTTTGCCTCTTTCCCCGTAGTAGTCATTAATCTATTAAATACCACACTGCTTTTAATTGCTCATATAAAGACTGTGAATGAGATAAAATGAGAGTAAGCCATTAATAATTCAAGAAAAGTAATTGATAAAGTGCCTCTCACTCCCTTTCCTCTTCTTCCTTATGAGTTGCTCCCCCACACACCCATCTATTAAAATAGGAAGGCTATCCAATTTGAGATTCACTGAGGGCCTCTACTAAATCTTCATGAATTAGGTGAAGGAGCTAACAAATGTCTTAGAAGTAACAGTTAAAAAACAGACTGAGCCAGAGGGGGTCAGAAGCCAAGGTGGCAGTGGGGTGGTGATTGAGCTTCAGTCATTGGATGTTTGATGCTTGAGAGTCCTCCACTGAAACCAGAGGAAGGCAAAGAGCAGAGAGAGTGACTGTTTCTGACTTTTTAAACTGAACTCCAAAATTCTCTGAGCAACAGAACGGGCCCAATGTGTACCAGGTGGGATTTAAGTGTAAATGAAAGGACTGATTTTCAGATAATGGAGACAGTTAAAACATTGAATTTCAAAGTTATGGATGTCCTGCTTTGTTGGACTTCGTTAATTTTTTTAAGTACTCGGGTACACAGTGTTACAGTCCAATTTAGGCTAATGAGCAGATCAAAATTCTTAAGAGCTGTGATTTGTGTTTTCATGCATTTTCCTTGAAGTGTTAATTGCCATTTGACAGCTTGTCCCTTAGGCACTCACATCTCTTCTTCAGTACCTTGGAGGTGAAATTATCAATTATCCCCAAAAGACTCTTTTTACAGCTCTTCAACATAATCCTGTTTTCTGTCCTTGATGAAGCTAATGGTGGCAGTGGTTTTTTTGGGGTTTTTTTGTTTGTTTGTTTGTTTTGTCTCTTTGGGTTTTGGGGGTTTGTTTGTTTGTTTGTTTGTTTTTTAGAAACAAAAGAAAAAGTTTGGAAGGTCTCTGGAGAGACATTATCCTCCCTGTTTTATTCAGTCTGAGCAGCAGAAATACGAATATGTTCAGATCTCAAGGCAGTGTTCTTTCTTCTACACATACATTCCTAATTTTTATGAATCATGTGGACCTGAATTATTTTTTTAATAAAAAATATTAAGAGAGAAGAAAGGCAGGAAATATGGGGCACAATTGCACGTTACCCTAAGGTACGTCCGCATCCGAAGTACCCAGGAATTAAATCACCCTTATAGCTTTTAGAAATCACACTCCTGTCTCTTTAACAAACTGTAAGCGAGAAGAGGGCGGGCCTCCAGAGTGCCGAAGGTTCTGATTGGTCCGACTGGCAGGAAGTGGGCGGTGAAAGCGTGGCTTCTGTTGGTGTCCGAGGCTGCTGGGTGAGAGGCCGAGGCCTGGCTGGGCTTCTGGACGTTGTGCCGTAGCTTCAAATCGCGGGAGTGGGAACGGAGGGTGCAAAACGGGGTCCCTTCATCGCTGTGGGCGCGGGGCCCTGACAGCCTTTTCGCGGAGGTGCAGCGCCCTTGCAGCCGGGCCACGATCGGCGCGGGGTCCACTCAGACCACCAAGACCGCGGGGTGGCCCAGGAGCTGCAAGGAAGGTGTTGCCCGGCGGCTTGCCCCTGTCCTGGCAACTCGGCCGAGGCCCCTGTCTCAACCTAGGTTCTTTTTTTTCCCCTGTTCTGCAGGCTCGCTTCCGGCGTCATGGCTCAAAGGGCCTTCCCGAATCCTTATGCCGATTTTAACAAATCCCTGGCCGAAGGCTACTTTGATTCTGCCGGGAGGGTGAGTTTGGGATACATCTGCCTGCATCCCTACCTCCATCCAGGCCCTGGTGTTCAGAAAGGAGCTCAGTTTTGCCTGAAAGAAAGGGATGAGCATCCCCTTTTAAAATATATATATAATTGGAAGATAAATATATCAAATACATGTCAAAATATGCAATTTGAGTTTTAACATTTGTAAAAGTCATTGTTACTAATAATTTATAATTGAAATAATCTCAGTCATTGATAATTTAAATTACAAAGATGACGAATATGGCGTTTTCCATGTAATTTTGCAGTTTTGTTCGATTTTGGTATGCATTTTTAAGAAGGGAGGAGTCCTGGTGGTGTGTCACATGTGCCATGTTATTGCTTTATATTTGTACACATATACGGGCAGGGTAAATGATGAGCGTAAATTGGAGAGTGTGGTAAAGACATCTTTAAACCGAAAGTGCTAAGAGAAATTAGGGACATAGGCCTGAAATTCTTCCTACTGTTGCCACTCTGCAGAACACCCCCACAGCTGGAAAGCAAAAACAAAACAAACAAAAAAAACCCAGTAAATTAATGGTTAGCACTTTATAAGCCACTGAGCAAAAGAGAAGCTGGATGTAAGATACCAGAGGCCTGTGTTTTCTCATGCCTCTTTGAGTGAATGTAATTGTTAAGGGGGAATACAGTTCTTTTTAAGAATACCTAGTTGAGAAATCAGAGTGCATTAGGTTGGAAGAGTGATCTCTTTGAAGTGCACACACTTTTAATTCTACCAATTTATTCCTTCTAAACTCATCATGCGCAAAGCATTTCATATGTATAAAGGCCTTAGAGATTTTGTTATCTGCCAAGTCAACTCTATGTGGCTCTTTTGGTTCTTTCCTTAAAACACTTGTCACTATGGATTAACTTAACATAATCATCAGTAATGCAAGTGGGAGGGATGAAGTAGATGGAGAAGAGTTGCAGGATAGAAGAGTACCAAAGTATGTATGAATCTAGAGTCAGTCGATTTTTTTTAGACCAAAATTGAACTACCCAAGCAAAGCTTCTTAGAACAATCTTGACGTCATATGGCTTCCTTTTGGCCATTTGGACCTGTGTTCTGTCTAGCTTTGCCGATCCTGAAGCTCAAGTATTTTGTCTGGTCTTGTTGGAGAAAGACCTGCTGTTTCATGCTAACTTGGCAAAGAGAACGTTTGAGGATTTATCCAAATGACACAAGCCTTCAGTAAAATACAGCTTGCTGTTCAGACTGTTTATAAATTAAATGCTTTTACCAATTTAACTGTTTCCACGGGAGAAAAAAAGGTATTCATAAATTTAAACTCTGGTCCAAAAATAAAGTGATTTATCACCTAATACATGGTTTTGGAGAGATTCCAGAAAGAAACGAGCATACCAGTTCTAAAATTGTTTAACGTTGAACATCAAGGTTCAGACCCTGGAGATCTGTCCTCCTTAATTTGTTAACGCAGACCTTCCAATTAGGAATTGGTCTGTTTTCTCACGTCTATAAAAAAAAGGGGGGGGGGGCTTTTGGAGACTGCAAATTATTGCTAGAGTTTGAATAATTTTGTGGTCTGCCACAAACAATCAATTTTCTCAGGCAGGTTACCTTTATTAAATGCAGTTATATGACAAATAGGAAGTGACTTCCCTTCCTGAGATTGAGGTGTTCTCATTCTTGGGCTCAGAGTAAGGCCAGGCAAGACGATAAATTATCCATGATCTATGAACAGAAAATGACATGTTCTCATGTAGATGCACTCTTCTATCTAGTTGAGATTTATAGACCTTTTATATTAATACTGAAGTATATTTTATCTTACTAAATGTATTTTCAAGACTTGTTGAAATCTTGTTGAAATCTTAAGCTCTTGGCAGAAATTGTTAAATAATGGGAGTGTGTCTGTCAAACAATGTGGTTTCTTCTTCAGAGTATAAAATAAGGGATCATAGTGGTGCTTCAGGATAAATAATCCAGATATGGTTGACAGTCTGGTTTGCCTTATCAGAGATGCTCTTCAGAAGTAAAATTTTATATCTTTTATAATAATTCTGATACTGTCTTCTTACTTTTTTCAGTGTTGAGATGCCCTTTTTAAAAAATGAAATTATGATGCTAACAGGTAGTAGTTAGGTTTGTTTATAATCCTTACGTGGTGAAATGAAATGTTTGTAACCATGTGATATTCCCCAACCTTTTTGAAATTTTACTGCTTTGTAAAGTCCAAGTCTGGGAATCACAGCAGGTTCCTAAAATTTTTGAGGGATACATTAAAGTGACCTTTTAAGACACTTCATGATTCAGTGTATACAGAACTTTCAAAATGTTTTTCAGTTGCTTGTAGGATGAATAACATAATGATTACGTGGGCCTAACAGTTTGCTCAGCATCTATGGGCCTTCATATGGATGTCACTAACCCACAGCCCCCACTTTAGTGTGCTTTTAATCCATATCCAACTAATTACTTGTTATAGACCCTTGGACTGCTTAAATTTTTTAAAAAAATATCAACATTTATATCCCTGAATGTGAAAGACCCAAGGCCCATGATTTCATTTGATCCTCAAAGTACTTTTTGAAATTGGTGGGGCAGGTATTATCATCCTGACTTTATAGAGGTAACTGAAGCATAAAGAAGTCATATGTAGAGCGAGATCACCCAGCCAATCACAGATAAAGATATAGGCAGCCTTATTCATCTGGGCAAAGCCCCTCCTTTGCCAGGCACTATGCTGGGCACGGGTTTTTTGATACTAGGTCTGATATTCTTTCTACTCTGCCTAAGCCTCCTGATATCCCTGAATTTATTTTGATTTTCTTATCCTACTTCTACAATTTGTAAAAATTGTTTATCCATTTTTTCACAGATGGACTTTAATAAATGTTTATCCTCATTTTTTAAATAACAAAAACAACTAGAGTGTTTCTTTTGGAAATTAATATTGCTGCTGCTTGAATGTCTAGAAAATAGCAAACATCTTATGATTTGTGCTTAGTTTATTAAAATGATTTTTATTATAATAAAAATATTGGTTTAAATAACAGATGTTCCCTAATAGGTGGAAATTACAGCAGTCTATTTTAGCATTTATTTACAAATTTTATGTAAAACATTTAAGTTGCAACAAAAGTATTTCCTGCCTTGAGTAGGAAAATATAGTAGCACTTTAAAGTTTTATTAATTTGTTGTTAAGAATAAAATAATTGTCCAGTTCTCCCAGGCAAAAAAAAAAAAAATGTGACCTAAGTGGAAATGAAGTACCCTCCTATTTTTGATGGCCTATAGTCTGGGAAGTTGAGTGGTCCATATTTTTTGATACTTGATTTCCCTTTAATACCTACAGCTAACTCCCGAGTTCTCACAACGCTTGAACAATAAGATTCGAGAGCTTCTTCAGCAAATGGAGAGAGGCCTAAAGTCAGCAGACCCTCGGGATAGCACTGTTTACACTGGCTGGACAGGTATGAAGTGCTGACCGTGAGCTGGCATAAGCATTACAGAGGAGAGCCAAAGCATTACCTTTGGAGAGCTGTCTGACAGGATGGGACGCCCTTAAGTGCTTACTGCATCTGTATATGAGTAATTGCTTCCGGGAGAATGTGGTGCTCTCAGCCTAGCCTTGATATCTTTGGGTTTTTAACAGTGCTCTGAATTTAGGGCAGGGTAAGCATAGTCATGGAATATGTCATACCTGACACAAATTTGGATAGCTGCTTGTGGAAAGAAAACATGATGCTTAGCATTACATAGTCAATTTGGAGATGGAATTTCAGTGGGAAGAGCTGGGAAGCATCTCAGAATACAACATGTGAAACAGAAATAAAGGCAATTTATCCACAGGAAACAAACAGGGATCGTACACGAACACAGCGTGAACCATAGATTGCTTGAACTGATCCTTCCAGATAGTCATCGCTAGTTGGTTTGCATTCACTGTTTTGCTGGTCATTGAGACGTGGACAAAATTTGGGAAGAAATAGTATATAGGTTTCAAGGAAGTGAGAGAGAGACAAATCAAAGAAGGAACGCTGAAGAACTTGAGTTAGTTTACTGATGTAGAGAGACAGAAAGACGGCTTTATAATCTTGAAGAAGCACGGTTTAGAGACTCCGTGTTTTCCAGTTACTCAGAAAAGAAGGCAAAAGGAGGAACAAGTTTTCAGCTCAAGGAATTAGATTTTAAGGCAGTGTTGCTTGTCATGAAAATGCAGGTTCCTGGGCCTCACAGTGGAGATATCAGTTTAGCGGGTCTTGAGTGAGGCCCAGGAATATGCATTTTTCAAGCCTCAGTGGTCCTGATGTATATAGTCCTCTGTGGACTGCACTTGGAGAGCTTTTCTATGGCAGGAATTTACTAATAGCAAACCTTTTAGTAATGACAAGTGATTCTGTCCTTATGAGGGCGAGGAGGCAGATAAAAATCAGAATAAAATTCTGTTAGGGATATTTAAGGTCATTATTTTCTAAAATAAAAGGAATGGACTAGTTAATGTTCGGCCTGCCTTCTTAGCTTCGTTTTATAATTTTGGGGGATTTTAGAAGCTTAATACAAGGTTTATTGAAAATGAGAATAAATGTGAAAGTATTTTGCTTCAAGAAGAAAGTTGTAACAACATTTCTCATTTAAATGAACATTACTATTTTTTATTTAAAATTGTGAGAATCGGGGCTCCTGGGTGGCTCAGTTGGTTAAGTGTCCAACCCTTGGTTTTGGCTCAGGTCATGATCTCACAGTTCGTGGGATCAGCCCCACGTTAGGCTCCACGCTGACTGAGGGGAGCCTGCTTGGGATTTTCTCTCCCTTTCTCTCTGCCCTTGCCTTGTTCATGCTCTCTCTCTCTCAAAATAAATAAACTTTAGAAAAATTAAAAAATTAAAAAAAATAAAATTACAAGTATTTGAGCAAAATAGAACAAGTACAATGCATAGTTATCTTTAGCTTTCCTCTTGATTTCCACATCTAAAGCCCACACTTACAGATCTTTTCCCAATATATTTGGAGTTTCTATTATTTTGTTATTCCTGGCAAAAAAAAAAAAAAAAAAAAAAAAAAAAAAGAATAAGACAGATGGCTAGATTTAATTCCCTGACTACAAAAAGAATGACTGAAATCTCTGTCCTACTCACTCATTCAGGTGAGCTATTATTATTACATATTATAAGGTACGTTGCTTTAGGGAGAAAAGAAGTGGGAATTGACTTCAGGTTTGAATTAGTATTTTGACATTGTTGAAAAACCATCAGTCAGGCCCTCTACTGCTGGGGCTGAATGAGATACTAAAGGTTAAATAGAAGAGGAAATAGAAAAGGAATTCCACTCCAAGTAAAATGCAAGTGTGGCTAAATGTTTTGGCAGTATGAGTTTCCAGCGTCATCTCCTTTGAATGCCAATATCCTTCAACTTTTTGTCTTTAAGTATTTATGATACTTACTGCTGGATCCTGAAAGCAGCTTATATGGCAAGTGTCTTAGGCAAATTGGCATTCTAAGCAGTTTGGGTTGTTTTATGATGTAGCATAAAATCTTCTAGATAAATTTGCTAATGGCTTTGGAGGGAAGGGATCCTGATGTCTGCTAATTGAGCACTGTTAAAAAGCCATTATTCCCACATAAAATGGACTGTCTCCTCCAATGTTTTCGTAAGTAAAATGCTTTTGTTCCCTTGCCAGTGTTCAGACGGTCTGAATAGCATAAAACTCTTGAGTTGCATAAGAAACTACGTAATGCTAATTTGACACAAGAAATCATGTCAGTACCTTCTCTTCCCATTGTTCTATCTTACCAAGTATCATCTCTTCATTATTGCTATTTTATTGCCATTAAGTGGATTCATAAACATTTTAAGGTAATAAACACACTTGGTGTTGTGTGTCAAACCAGTGTTTACATAATTATGTATTAATTTGTATGTTACTCTTTGTATTCCCCTTTCTGTCTTCCAAAGAGGGATACTTTTTAGAAAATAAGGATTCTGTTTTCTTTAATTTGTTCCCAAAATTTAGTGTCATATTTTTTGTAAATATTAATTGTTGTTTGTTCTTGTTGCTAACTTGTCCAAAATTATATTACTTTGGGAAACACTAATTTATTACAGAAAAGCTTTAAAACTTGATCACCTTCTTCAGCATTGGTATTTATTGAGCATTTGGTGATCATTATGTAGTTTGTATGAGAGAACTTTATGATTATTATTAATTAGAACTTTAAGTTACCATCCTATTTTGTTAAGTTTCATTCCCCAGTGGAAGTATGATCTAATAGTTAATGCTCATTCAGATAGAATTAGGATTTAGAATAGGGTTAGGTTCTGCTGCACATATATGAAAAAACCAAAATGACAGTGACTTAAATAAGATAGAAGTTTATTTTTCTCTTCTGTAAAAGAAGGCCAGTGCAGTTCAGGGTTGATATAATGGCCTCAGGATATCTTTCTGCTCTATCATCCCTCAGCCACTGGCGTCTACCTCTTGGCTAGATCACTGCTGAAGATTAATGCATCACATCAGCCTTTCAGGCTGCAGAAAGGAAAAAGAGGCCAAAAAAAAAAAAAAAAAAAGAATGCATTCCTCTCCTTTATTTATTTTTTTAAGTTTATTTATTCATTTAAGAGAGAGTGCAAGCCGAGAGGGGCTGAGAGAGAGAATCCCAAGCAGGATCTGTGCGGTCAGCATGGAGTCTGATGCAGGGCTCTATCCCATGGCTGTGAAATCATGACCTGGGCCAAAACCAAGAGTCAGAAGCTTAACCAACTGAGCCCTCTCATCCAACAAGCTTCCCTTGTCCCCTTTTAAAGGACTTTCTGGAAGCCCCACTCAACATTTCAACTCTACCTACTTTTCATTGTCTGGAACATAGTCACATGGTCACTCCTGTCAGGAAGGATAGTAAACGTAGTCTGTTAGCTGGGGTTAAGTGGATTTGGGGTAAGATCCTAGTAATCTCTGCTATAAGTCCTATATAACAAGAAAAATGATTTTTTTTATTGTTTGCACAAAGCATTTGGACAATGAGCCTTAATTTTTTTCCACCTACAGAAAGATCTCTAACGTCTGCCAATTTGGAGGGAATTTTTATCTTTAAAATATTTTGAAGTTTCCTAAACAATATTTTTTCTGCTCTGGGTGTCTAGGGAGACTCACATTTGGAGTTTGTTTCAAAACACTTTTATTTTAATTTTGTTTTCATTTCAATAAGTAATAGTCCTTTCATAAAACCTGCCATTGAAAGCAAGTATGATAGGAATGCCAATTCATAAGTAATTTTTCTAGAGCTAAGTGTAACTTCTATCAAGAAAGGGGCTGCAGCTGGTTCTAAAGACTGTGAGATGTTAGCGTTTTCTCAGCGTGACTGAAATGTTACCTGCCTCTCCTTTCCACATCCTCTCAAACTCCTGCTTGCTTGTCACAGGGTTATAAAATTCTTAATTTGTTTGTACCCTGCATTAATCCATAGTAAACCCCATAGTCATATGTCTGTGTTTCTGCTTCGTGACTACAAAAAGCTACAAATGGAAACTGTCCAGCTTCATAATACCTCATTCATGCTATGACTGGATTTGCCTCAGTTGCTCACTTGATCTTGAAAATGAAAGTTTTAGTAAAGAAGCCCATGTGGTTTTGTTTTGTTCTTTTATTTTTTTAAGTTTATTTATCTATTTTGAGAGAGAAAGCATGTGCAGGGGAGGGGCAGAGAGAGAGGGGGAGAGAGAGAATTCCAAGCAGGCTCCTTGCTGCCAGCACAGAGCTCAATGCAAGGCTCGAAATCACAAACCGTGAGATCATGACCTGAGCCAAAACCAAGAGTCGGATGCTTAACCGACTGAGCCACCTAGGTGCCGTGCCCATGTGTTTTTAATATCACATATGCACTTAAAACTGAAAAATTGGACTCCCATCATTTTTTCCCACTTTCTATTTTTTTAGGAAAAATTGAGACTAAGAGTGACAAGCTACTTATTAGAATTTCTGTACCTGTGTTATATATGCTTTAGAAAACACTGTGTGCATAATGCTTTACTGGTAAGGGTGATGTGTACAGGTTAAATAAAAATTTAAAAGTAGCAAGTCATTGCTTTAGAAAGTACATTGCCTTTACAAACTAGTTTACAACTGAAATTATCTTGGCTTTTATTACAAAATGGAAGCAGAGGATATAACACAGTGATGAGAACGGTCAATGTAGGCTTTTAATAGGATTCAAGCATCATTTTCACTAAAGCCTACATATTTACATGCTGTGTGTGTCACAGTGCAGTTTTACAGTCTGTATTCCTGACTTTTACCTTTTTTTTTTAAATGTTTATTTTTGAGAGAGTGAGAGAGACAGAGCCCAAGTGGGGGAGGGACAGAGACAGAGACAGAGAGAGAAAGAGAGAGAGACACAGAATCCAAAGCAGTCCAGGCTCTGAGCTGTCGGCACAGAGCCCGATGTGGGGCTTGAACTCACAAGCTGTGATACCATGA